AAAAAGCCAGGCTGGAGGTGTGGCTCAAGTGGTAGAGTGCTGAGCAAGAAAAGGGAACACAGGCCAAATTAGAGGTCCCCCCCACACCCCCCACACACAGTTGGGAGTGGATTGGACATTTTAAGGACCAGATGAAAGTTAGTTTGTGACAGTTACAAGGGTCACATACATAGGAATGTAACACTTCGGTAAACGCAAAGACAGTTCTTCTGGAAGAACATTTGCACGGGGTGTGAAAACAAAGGCATCTAAAGCAAAAATACCCGGAGCCCGTCCATCCTTCCCAGGATGCGCGGGGCCTGCCTGACCTCCGGGTGTCAGGCGGAACTGTTCTTAGGTGAAGACAGGCCTGTGGGGTGAGAACCGACTGGAACCCACGGGAGCGGCGGGTGTGGGAACTGCCCCATCCGGGCATCCTGACAGCGCTGGCTCTGCGCCAGTCTCTGCCCTGGGTGGGGGGATGCAGACAGGACGGCTGCGGGGACGGCGCACCAGAGAGGCAAGGGCGCACCGTGCGCGGCCGCATCTAGCTTCAGCAGGGCGGAGAACCAGGAACCGAGCAACGCGTGGCCATGCACACAGGGAGCTGCAGCGAGGGGGAGCCTTAACACCACTCAGCATGCAGCAGGTAGAAACTGCACACCAAAGCCATGTGGCCCCAGCCTGCGTCCATCGCGGGAGGGGAGGGGAGGAGGGGAGCTGCGGCGCTGAGGATCAAGGTCTCACAATTGCTGCACACGCCACTGAGCCGCGCGCCCCTCTCCCGGAGGGAACAGAAAAGAGCAAGCACTGGGAAGCATGTGTGGAGACTGGAATCTGGTACGTTGTTCGAAGGAATGTAAAATGGTGCAGCCAGTGGGTAAAACAATATGGAAGTGCCTCAAAAAATACTGAAAATACAATTACCATCTGATCCAGCCTTTCTACTTATGGGCAAAGACCCAAAATAGCAGACTTCCAGAGATACCCATATACTGATGTTCAGTCCACTGACAGGAGCAAACAACATACAGTATATAAATACAATAGACTGTTACTTAGCCCCACAGGACACAACCTGGATGCGCTTTTAAGGACAGTAAGCTTAGTGAAGTGAACCCATCTCAAAAAGACAAACCCCGGCCAGGCACTGGTGCTCATGCCTGTAATCCTGGCTCCTCAGGAGGCTGCATGTGAGGATCACAATTCAACGGCAGCTCAGGCAGGAGAGTCGGTGAGACTCATCTCCAGTTCCCCACCAACACTTCGGAAGTGGAGCTGTGATCCAAGCCTTGAGCAAAAACAACAACAAACACCAACTCAGGGGCAGTGCCCAGGCTCTAAGCCCAAACCCCAGGACCGCCTCACACAATTTAGCTTAAGAGAGTCAATTCTATGTGTTTACTACAATTAGAAAAAGGATAAAAAGCCCGAAATGGGGGGGGGGGATGTATTCAGACTGCCAAGAGTGGAAGAGGAGAGCAGCCGTGGCCACTCTGCCGCAGGGGCTGGACAGGAAGGACACAGCAGGCCTGGGGGGGGGGGCATCTGCACCGCGCCTCCCCACGGTGTATCCCCGGGTAAGCCCCGCGCAGGCCAGCTGCGCTGACGCTCACGGCGCAGGAACGCGGTGAGGCCGAGCCCTGCGGAGCTGACGAAGCTCACACGGCTGCTCAGGAGCACACAGAGAGCCTGCGGCCCCCCTGGCCTGCGGGATACCCGCGGAGCTCTTATTGGGTCCTCGCCATCCACCTCCCTGAAAGAAGCGACTCTGGGGGTGAAGATGGGGTGTAGCCGCCATAAAAACTCAGAATGAATTTAGCACATTGTAATCCATGCCAACAACTGCATTCCATACAGACAATGAACGGGCTAAAACTGAACAGTGAGCGAGCGCTCAGCTCCCCACCTTTTCTTAGAAAACTCTCAAGATACACTCCACCCCAGGGCACTTGAGGAGCGAGGGCATGTGAATGTGATAGCAACGAAAATTGACGTTGACAAGTCATAGAAGCCATTGCTTGCTCTTCTAGATGTGAGTTTTATGGATTTCAGAAAATACTCTGAAGAAATTATGCAAGCTGGGTACCCGTGGCTCACATCTGTCATCCTAGCTACTCAGGAGGCTGAGAGCTGAGGATCATGGTTCAAAGCCAGTCCGGGCAGGAAAGTCCATGAGACTCTGATCGCCAATAAACCACTAAAAACTGGAAGTGGTGCTGTGGCTCAAGTGGTAGAGCTCTTGCCTTGAGCTGAAGAGCTCAGGGACAGCGCCCAGGCCCTGAGTTCAAGCCCCATGACCGACAAAAAAAAAAGGAAGAAAGAAATTATACAAACTGACAAAGTGCTGTAGGCAGAAAAATACCTTTTAAACATGTATTTGTATTTTTTATCACACTCACACATGCGCAGACTTTTAGAAGTCTTTTTACTTTTAAACTTCATACTTTTACAACAAAGGTTGAATCTTCCCGAATTAACCTTACTGAATATTTAAAATTTTTATTTTAACAGGACTAAACAGAACTAAAAAAGAAAAAAAGAACCTCTGGAGACAGAAAAGCATTCAACAAAAATTGAACTGGTCATGATTAAAAACTCAGTGAACCGTAGCAAAGGAAACAATCAACAAAATGAAAAGACAGCGCATACAATGGAAGGAAATATTTGCAAACCTTCAGTGTGACAGGAGGTGAATATGTGAAATGAATAAGGAACTCACATTCAATAGCAACACCGAACTGACCCGGTTTAAAACGGGCCAAGTATCTGCTCAGTCCCCGGCCCAGGCCAAGGGCCACGCTGCGCAGCCCGCCATCAGCTCAGGGAGGGAAAGGCTCACTGGGCTCCCAGAGGTGCGGCTCCCCCTGCGCATGCGCCTGGCCTGCTCGGGGGGAGGACACGAGGTGGGGCGGGTGCTGGAGGTGGAAGCCATGCCTCTTATGGTCAGGAAGCAGAATGTGAGGACAAGAGGAGGCCCGCGCCCACTACCCCCTCAAGGACACAGCCAGTGACCTGAATACAGTGCACACACACCTCATTCACAGTACATACATTCACATACACACATTTACAACACAGACCATTTTCATCTGAAAGCAGTCTCAAAGGGAGAGGAGGAGGCGCGTCTAGCAATAGAAGCAACTTCCTCCATCTCGTTCTATCTACAAAGACGTCATCTCTGCGAGCATTTACTTAATGGTGCTGACTGAGGGCTTCCTCCCCAAGCCTGGACCCAGCCGGGATGCCCCCTGTGGGCATTGCTAGGCATCAGGTAGAGGATGTCTCAGCCAGTGGCTCTGGAGGGAGGGGGCGGGCTCGGCTGGCACAGCTGGATAAGGGGTCATCTATGCAGAGAAACCTTGAGGAGTTGACATTCAAGCAACAGAAAGGAGCTTAGTGAGATCACAAGATCCGAGTGACCTCTAAAATACTGACCTCCTCACGTGTCTACACATTAGAGGAATCTATTAGAGATTCAAATTTCAGAACTCCTTACAACAGCAAAAAAAAAAAAAAAAAGATGAAGTATTTGTGGACAGATTTAGCTAAGGACACGCAAGACTTGCTGGGGGTGGGGGGGAGGGAGAGAAAAAGCGTGTAAAACGCTCACAGCACGGAAGACTCAACAGCCGGCAGCCTCGGCCCCAAATGGATGGACAACTTCAGAGCAGCCCGATCTAAATAACAAGCAGCTGGTCATCCCGACATTTACGTGGAAACACAAACAGCCTGGAAGAGCCCTAACAACTCTGGGCGGGAACAGTCCAGAACTTACGGTATGGATTTCAAAATTTACAACCAAGCAAACATAATCCAGACAGTTGCTATTCAAGGGAGGCTCGAGGTGAGTGCAGAAAAAAAAAAAGCAACAACAGAGACTTAGCCAGTGAGTTTGCAATAGACAAGCCAGGGTAATCAATACAACGAGGAAAACCGTCCAACTAAAGGGGCTGGATCAATTAATGCCCACGTGCCAAAAAAGAAAACCCAAATCCTTTAACTTTCACCATATATTTAAAATAAATGATGTCAGCCAGGTATGGTGGTAGATGCCTATAATCCCAGCTACTTGGGAGGTAGAGGTTGGAAGATCACAAGTCAGAGAACAACGCAGACAGAAGCACCAGACCTCGTCTGAAGAACAAACTAAAGCCAAGGGGCTTGGAGCACAGCTTAAGGTGGTGGAGAGGCTGCTCATCAAGGCCAAGGCCAAGTTCAATCCCAGTCCTGTGCTCCCAATTGCCCCACATTCCCTAAATATAATGATTATGAATACTGGATTGTTTTAATTGAGGGAAGAAAGCATTCTATGCAAAATAATAAAAACAATAAATAGTAAGATCATATGTCTAAATATAGATGCTACAACTGCATAAAACTTCGAGAGGGAAACAAAATTATCTCTGCAATCTTGGAGCAGGCATCAGTTTATTAAACAACAGTCAAAAAGTATGAAGTAGAAGAGAAAAAATAGACTTCAAAAATTTAAACTCGGTCTATTCGTCAAGACACTAAAAATATATTTTTAAAACATCACACTGGATGTAATGGCTCATGCCTCTAATAGCTACTCAGATACTGGAGATTGGAAGGATCAAAGTTCAAAGCCAGCCCGGGTAAAAGTTTGCAAGACTCCATCTCAAATAACAAGCTGGGCATGGTGGCACATGCTTGCCATCCCAGCTACACAGGAAGAAGAAATGGAAAGATCACAGTCCACACCAGTCTGGGCAAAAAGAAAAAAAAATGAGACCTTATTCAAAAAGAAGGAAAGCAGCCAGGCCCCAGTGGCTCATCCCTGTAACCCTAGCTACTCAAGAGGCTGAGATCTGAGGACTGTAGTTCAGAGCCAGCTGGGGCAGGAAACGCTAATCCCCAATTAACCAGCAAAAAGCTGCAAGTGGAGGTGTAGCTCAAATGGTAGAGCATCAGCCTTGAATGGAAAAGACAAGTGAGAACATAAGGCCCTGAGTTCGAGCCCCAGGACCCACACAAACCCTACAGATCAAAGTACATACCAGTAGTGTCTCTCCTTGGGAAATGAAGAAGTGACCGGATATGACGATGGTGAGAACGAGGCACCCAGATTCTTCATTGGAATCAAAAACCTTGGAAGAGAGAGGAATAGGTTTAAAAACAACAAAACAGCAAGCAAAACCTGTACATCTCTGTACTAGTGAAACACACAAGCCTAATAACCAACTGCTGGTTAGTCTTTCTATCTTGATCTTTCCTATTGAACCTGTAATCACTGCCTTACAGAGAAGTGTCTCCTCTTACACACATAGGAGCTATCAGCTAGGCTTTCAAAAAGCATAAATCTAACATTTTGAAACAAGATTCACAAACAAGAGAAGCCAGGCATGGTGGTGCATATCTGTAATCCTCGCTAGTCAGGAGGCTGAGAACCTGAGGATCTCAGTTTGAGGTTATCCTGGTTAAAAATAAAGTTCACAAGCCCCCAGGGATCTCAACTAATAACTGGGTGTGGTAGCACTTCTGTCATCCGAGCCTACATTGGAGGATTGTGGTCTAGGTGGGCCCCGGCAAAAAGTGAAATCCTTTTTGAGAAACAGTGGAAGCAAGCTCCGTGCTAGTTGCTCACATCTGCCCATAATCCTAGCTACTCAGGAGGCTGAAGTCTGAGGACTGTGGTTCAAAACTGGCAGAAAAGTCCACGTAAAGAGCTCTTATCTACAATTAACTACCAAAGAACCAGAAGTGGAAGTGTGGCTCAAATGTGGAGCACCAGCCTTGAGGGAAAAGCTAAGGGACAGTGTGCCCAGGCTCTGAGTTCAAGCCAATAACATGCATGTGAGCGTGCACATGCGCATACACATACACAAAGTACCATCTTAACTTATAAAAAACTAGAACAAGCACCTGGCAAAATCCAGCCTTCCTTCCTGACTGCAGAAGAGCTGTGGCACTTCTATGGAGGCGGCCATGGTTAACATGACCTCACACAGTGAAAGCTTTCTCCCTCCGTACAGAAGAAAAACAAGGTGTCCACTCTTGCCCCTTCTATTCAGTGTTGTTACTGGGGTTCTTAACCACTGCAATCAGACCAGAGATAAAAAGCACTCAAGACTGCAAAGGGAGAAGCAAAGCTGTCTTTAATCAGACATTATGATTATGTGGAAAAATCTAACTGATTTTTACTAGAACTAATACATTAATTTTAAGAAGCTTGCATAAGCAAGATTGATAAGGGAAAAGCAATTACATTTACATAGACTAGTAGAAAACCTGGAACTTAATTTCTGAAACATCAGAATTTGGAGTACGTCAAAAACAGGAGCAGGGCTGGGAAAGTGGCTCAGTGGTAGAGCGCTTGCCTTGCATGCTCAAGGCCCTGGGTTCGATTCCTCAGCACCACATAAGCAAAAAGAAAAAAGCCGGAAGTGGCGCTGTGGCTCAAGTGGTAGAGCGCTAGCCTTGAGCTGAAGAGCTGAGGGACAGCGCCCAGGCCCAGAGTTCAGGCCCCACGACCGGACCCAAAAAAAAAAAACAGGAGCAACTTTGGGATAAATCTAATGAAAGATTGGCACATTGAGATGTGACAGGATCTAGGGACCAGCAGAGAGGTTCTGGGATGATCAAGGTGTCAGCGGGCAGAACAGCATCCCCCAGAGATGTCCACAGCCAACAGCTGGAGCACATGGATGCTCTTCCATGGCAAACGGCCTCTGCAGATGTGCTCAGGGATCTGGAGACGAGTCTGTCCTAGATCAGCTAAGTGGGCTCAGAAAATCCCAAGGTCCTTGTAAGAGAAGGAGGAAGTAAGGATAGGAACGTGGGCAGCCTACTGGCTGCAGACACCGCTGCAGGACAGATTCTCCCCAGAGCCTGCAGAAGGAACGCAGCCCCACCCGTACATAAAGGTTAGCGCCCCCCCTCTTCAGACCAGTGTGATGCTCAGACCTGCAAGCTAAGTGCGTGAAGCCGCCACGGTGGACGTACCACATGACAGCAGCAGTGGCAAGCCAGTCCAGACGCTAACTCTCCCCAGTTCCACCCATGCAAACTGGTGATAACCACCCAAATTCCTCACTTCTTTTTTTTTTTTTTGGTGGAAATTCAGCTATTTCCAAGATTCCAATGGAAACGCAAGGGTGCAAAGCAGAGAGACCATGCGCGGGCATGGAGGCAGCTAACGTTAACAAAGCGCCGGTGACACCCAGACCCTCTTACAAATAAGCTGGGCAAGAAAAATGTTTGCTGGGGAACCGCTGGCTGCCAAGGGCTACTCCGGGCGTTCCATTCCATCGCTGGACCCCCCACCCCTGCCTTCCAGGGCGAAGGTGGGCTGCAGGGGCCCGGCCCAGGGCGGTGGGCGGGGCCGCAGTGGGCGGGGCACCCCACCAGCCACTGGGCCGCCCTGTCTCCAGGGAGACCCGCCAATAACCAGCCACTGCTACCTACCACGCACGTCAGCAATGACATGCACAACATTTGTTGGTCCAAGTCCTAAATATAGTCTTTGAACAAAGGGGAGGAGGTCCTGGTGGGCTGACCACTCACAGGGCTGGAATGACATACATAACTTGAGCTTGAACTCAGGGCTTTGTGTATTGTCCCGGAGCCTCTCTGTGCTCAAGGCTAGTGCTCAACCAATTGAACCACTTCCAGTTTTTTGAATGGATAATTGGAGATAGCTCATGGGGACTTTTTTTCTGCCCAGGCTGGCTTTGAACTGCAATCCTCAGATCTCAGCCTCCTGAGTAGGTAGGATTATAGGTGTGAGCCACCGGTGCTGGCGTGCGCGCGCGTGCGTGCGTGTGTGTACTCGTCCTTGGGCTCAGGGCCTGGGCACTGTCCCTGAGCTGCTTTTGCACAAGGCTAATCCTTGATTATTAGCTAGGATTACAGGTATGAGCCACCAGCGCTTCCAAGTATAATTTCTTCAAAAAATTTAAGATCTTTAACAGGTATAGTTCCTTGGACTTTAAAAAATCAAGTTGTAAACGTTATTACAAATCAAAAGTGAAGCTCTTAATAATATCAACTTTCCCAGACCGGACACAATTTGAACACCGTGAAAGGTGTACTGAGGAAGATCAGGTGCGTGGGGAACTCCTGGCGAGAGCTGATCCCGTCTCATTCAGTGTCTGTGGATGACACCAAGGTTCAGCAGTGAAGAGGTCCAGGAGTGAGAAGAACTCAAATGCACACTCACCAGGCTACTGCCATGAAGGATGAATGTATGAAAACATCATAATGAAACCCGTTGTTTTGTACAATATACACTTAAAAAAAAAGAATCAACCCACCCAGCCTGGGTTTAGAGGAACAAAACTGTTGAAGGCGATCAATAGTCTGAACCAAAATAATGATTATTCGTAATAACCCTGAAGGAAGGCCTCAGAGCCAAAAGTGTGCTTTGTGAATGTAAAAATCCAACAGTTAGTTTAAAAACTATATGACCACAGCTGAGCCCCAAATGAACGGTTGGAGAGATCAAGCAGAGATATTTAGAACTGCAGAACAAGACTGCCAAGAGGAAATGCAATAGAAGACCTGTGGCAAAGATGCAGATACAGGAGAACAAATGTTACAGACCCGCTAGAGTGGGGCGAAAAAGGCTCTGGTTCAGCAAATAACAGAAAACACCCCATAACCACAGAAAGATGGAAAGGGGTCAGGTTCCAGCCATAATCAGGGTGGAGGAAAAGTCAACAACTAGGCATCGTGACTTCCAGACACAAGGTAGCCTGCCGGGGGTGCGGTCCAGTTCCTTTAACTCCTGGCCCTCCGCTGAACCTCGGGACCATCTATGGACAGGGACTGTGAGGACGGGGTCAGCCCTAGCAGAGAGTTCCCAATGACCTTGATCTTCCCAGTGATCTTGAAAGCTTCCAGTTAAAAACAGAACAGGCCAGGCTCTCATGGCTCATGCCTGTAATCCTAGCAACTCAGAAGGCCAAGATGTGAAGATCATAGTTGGAAGCCAGCCTAGGCAGGGAAGCCCATGAGACTCATCTCGTATTAACCACCAAAAAGCTCAGAGACAGAACCCAGGCCCTGAGTTCAAGTCCCAGGACCGGCACCATCCATCCATCCATCCATCCATCCATCCATCCCCATCCATCCACGCTGTCCGACTTCAACTCTTGAGGATTCTAGAGAACTTTTGTGGGGCGGTGTGAACTCCCAGCTCTCAGGGCCTCAAGTTTGCTAGCTGGTACTCTACCACCTGAGCAATGCCTCCAGCCTGACTTTTTGCTGGTTATTTTGGAAATAAGATCTTGAGAGCTGTTCTTCCGAGGCTGACTTCAAACCTTGACCCTCCAGATCTCAGCCACCAGTGCCCATCAGGTAAGTCATTTTGTAGAAGTGGTAAATGGAGAGAAGCATTTAGTCTACGGCCCCTACACCAATCCCACCACATGGTAACCAGAGTGGATGCAGGGAGCCCATCTTTACATAAGTAGTTGGGTACTGGGATAAGAAAAATGATAAAAGCACACTATCAGCCTTCTGTAACTCCCAGTTAATGCCTGTAGGCATTGTGACATCAAAAAGGGAAAAATAGATTATACCCAACAGGGAGCCAAACCACCCGGAGTAATCTCCTCTCAGGGAAATACGACTGAATTTGATCAACCTCTATTTATTCAACCATCAATTCACAAGAAAACAGCAGACGGAACAACAAAAAACACATGAACCTGCGGCACAGAGACGCAGCCAGCTGAACTTTCCGTGCCTTTTGGCTTTTCCCACAGAAATGCAGAGTGCTAGGAGCAATAATAAAAACAATGCTAAGAGTGAAAAGCCACAGACCTTCCCCGCTCCTAAGAGCAAAGACACACAGGGGAATTTTTTTCCCTTTAAAACCTATAAAAACAGACCTTTTGTACCAAAGCATAAGGTGTGATTCCTTCTTTCCCACAAGGCCCTACAAAGGAGCACTGACCCTGAGAGCATCCAGCTCTTCAAACCTAGCTCTTGGAGTTAACGCGGAATACGTTGTATGCAAAACATCTTTCATGCCCCTGAGTAGCAAGTGTTTGAAATGATCAATCCAGGCACCTCTGAGGATGCTTCTCCTTGCAGGTTTCTTAGACTGGTCTGGGTATGGTGCCTTACCCCTGCAATCTCAGCT